GCGGAGGCAGGAGTTGCCGCCTCCGCGTGGTGCACTCTCTCTCTCTCTCTCTCTCTCTCACACACACACTCTCTCTCGCTTTCCCTCATGTTCTCACACCTATTGGGAAAGAGATCAGGCATTACTGGGGAGGTACCACCTTGGTGTCAAGCTTCGAATTAGAGTTCAGTGACTCTTTCAGCCAATAAAAACATCTCTCACCAGTAAAATTGCTTTGGAGTGCACATGAAAGCATTTCTTGCAGTCGGTGCCAACCAGTATCCTCGCCACAAAATGAATCCAAACCCTAATGTCATAATAACGATGACATGCTTGGTTGATACATTGACTTTCCTTTGCCATGATCATATCTTGTTATTCCACGATTCTATTAACATCGAAACACAGCATCACTAGCTATTAATTGATTTTTCTTACAATATAAAAGCTACTAAACAAAAAAAATTATAATCGACATCGATTACGAGAACGAAAACTAAAAAGGAGTAATTTTTTTTTGCTCAATGCGACGATACTTTTCGATATCATATAACATCTTTTATGTGATATTATTACTGTAGAGTCGATCATATTTTATTTTTTTCTCTATCCTAATTTTGTATGACTTTCTCTATCACAATCTTTTGGCTATAAATAGTGCTCTTTATCTCTCAATCTTCACAACCGCATAGCCTCTTGTTCCGCAGATCCCTCCTCTCAGTCTCTTTCTCTCCGGTGGATGCTCACCTTCCGATCCAGTAGCCTGTATCTTCTGGCCCTTGCCATCTTCTTCCCCGAGGAACCAAACCTAGAAAGATCTCCAGTCCAAACTTCGTCTTCCATAAAGAAACCTAGATCTCGATTCCTGGTGGCTGCAAGATCCCTTGACTGTGCGTCCCGGTGTTCATTTGATCGTACATCTCAGCCTCTCCATTTTGTTTCCACAGGATAGAAAACGAAACGGAAACAGAAGAGGGTATATGACTTCTCTCCTCCATCCTCATCTTCCCATGGATTTAGGGTGGGAAGTCGCGCACGGATGGGATGGGTTGGGTTCCAAGAGTCGGTGTTTGTGGGTGGGGCATCATCAAGATTCACATGGATTAAGACAACTCCGGTGGTTCTACATGAGAATCTTGATGATGCTGCATCGGCAAACAAATGGCTATCTCATTCTGGTGTCCGCTGCCTTCTACGCTCGTCTCGGATGTGAGGTAATATCTCTTTCTTTCGATCCCTTCCCGGTTTTATTAGCGAGGCAGGCATCGAACGGCTCTCTCGATCTTCCCTTCTCTGTACAGTTTACACCCCATGAGGTTTTATCTGGTGATTTCTTGTTGTGTATTTGATGGATAGTCTCCCTATTTCTTTCTCTTTTCTAGTGGAGGGTTCCAAAGAGTAAATGATTGAGATCTTTACTTCTCCGGTTTCTTTCTATAATTCATAAATGATATATGCAATCTTATTCTCCAACTCTACACCTCAACATGCGCTCATGATGTTTGATGCTGAACCAGATAAAGATTCCCACTCAAAAGATCAAGATAAAAGATGGACAAGTCCTATGGAATCCACCATAAAATGATAAGAGCTCTTCTAGCTTGTATGGAAGATCTTCTTCTTGCATTAGCTCATATACACCCCCCTTTCTTTTGTATCTTTTTTGTTCCCTTCGATGATATAACGGAACAAAGATTTATTTTCCATTGATGATGCTTTGAAGTCGAAGAATCCAAAGAGCACCTCAAAAGTGAATCAGATGGTATGAAAATAGCTGCATCAATTCGGTGCAAGCTTGTCAAAACCTTACTAGTGTTGAGCTCTGTGTGACACTCGCTAAGAGTTCCTAGCAACAAATGTATTGCTAGTGTGACACTAAATGTCACCTGAGCTCCCTTTTTGTTGGACTTTGCTGTCATTCTCTTCTTTATTCATCTCACAGTAAGTGTTACTTGATATTTCTTTTATTTATTTATATATATATCCTGAGAAAAAAGAAGAAGAAGAAGAAGAAGAAGATGATTGTTGTGAGTGATGAATCCCATTTTGCTTCTATTTCTCTCTCTTATGCATATGGTGAAAGTAGAGTATGATGGTGATAGATGTGTGTGTTTGGATGAGGCTCAAACTTACCCTTGTGAAGTTAGTAAGAACATGAGATGGCAGTAAGATCTCATGGATCGGAAAGGAACCAAGAAATGTAGGACATGAGGAGAGTAAGAGTCTCGGCCATTGAGACTCCTTGCAGCTTTCCTCACACGGAGTGGGGCTTGCAGAGACCAACATCCCCTCCTAATTATTTCTGCAGTGGACCAGCCTTTGAAGGACATTCTTGCTCAGAGGTCTCTGCATAATGTTCCTCCTCGAGCTTTTCTTTTCTGTGCAACACATACAGTACGATCTCGTGCACATGTATGTTTCAGGAGATCCTACCTTTGCCGCTTTCCTTTCTCATGCTCGTAGACAGTTTGAGACGCAAGAACATGTGGTAATTCATATCAATCATATTCGTTATGTGCAGTTTATTTTGGCCATTCTGCATGAGCTGAATTCATCTGCATTATATTTTCCTGTTCTTTCTTTGAGCTTTGGAGTATAAGGAGGTCATAGATTTAAGTATAAAAAGGTCATGATTGTATTTTCCTGTTCTTTCTTTGAGCTTTCGAGTATAAGAAGGTCATAGATTTAAGTATAAAAGGTCATGATTAATTCTTCTTTCATTAGAATGGATACGACAAACAATCGATTGCGCATGTCTTGTTCTTTCTTTGATCTTTGGAGTATAAGAAGGTCATAGATTTAAGTAGACAAAGGGGGAATAATTTTTTTTTTTCCTCGTGATTATTTTTTTCTTTCTTTAGAATGGATACGACAACAATCGATTGCGCATGTCGAAGAGACCTTGCCAAGTAGGCCCTAACACTCCTTGTAAAATACGAGTTTAAATATTTCAAATCATTGAGCGTCAAAGAGACCTTGTCGAACATATTCAAGATGTCACCTGCTCACAAACATATTAAAGTTAGGAATCACGATCCATATTATAAGAGAAATTTATGCCCGAACATGGTTTAGAGTTTTGTATGTCTTGTGCCTAATCCTTGGTTTCCTTATGAGAGATGAGTTCTAACCCTGCAGAAGTTTGTCAGACAAGCAGAAACACAAGAATAGGTTTTGGAGAAGGAAACTTGTTGAATGAATCATACCAAAGGCAGGTATTCTCCAAATTAAACTTAAGCTTAAGAGATGAGCATACAAGATTAGTGTTTCTTAATCTATGATACAAGGAATAAATATACTTAGTGACACCATAGTGTAGCTGTTTCAGCATAAAAGGGTAAAGTTCTTGCGATATTTCCAAGCTAGAAATGTAGAATTAGAGGGTTTGATGATCCATTTGAGGCCGAGCTTCCACTATCATGGCATGCAGCTCCATGACTCATGCATGCTTTTGTCTGTGCAAAAAACCACAAGTCTAAACTAGTCACAAAGATGATGAAACTAACAGCAAAAATATGTGATCACAAGATTGGAAATCAGATTGCATAATTACTGAACAAAACTATATCATAATGAGTTTACAAGCAACCACAATCGAAGCGCTAACGGCACGCTTGAGCATGTGCACAAGCAAGACTGATTTAAATAAAACCAAGTTGAACCTCATTCATTATGAAAAAAACAGAATATTAGGTCATGATTACAGTCTGTTAGTTATAAGACAAACAAGTCGCAATTGTAGGATGACAGCGTGACGACTGGTCGAAATCTTCGTGCTGACACAGAGATAAGCATTGATGATGTGCCACTTGCAATAAGTTATGCAGCACCATTACGTCTTTCAACCGGTCTTTTTCTGCAATTCAAACATAAAAGAGCAGCAACGTCAGATGCATCATCGATTGATATTTGCGACTTCGACCTTCCAAGGGTCAAGTATCACATTAGATTTCTTTTCAATGCACCAGACAATTGCAAAATACCTTACCAGATAATTCTCCCTGTCCCTCCACAAGTAGCACAAGACCGAGAAGACAAACACCTTGAGCAATAACTCCACTTCTTTGGAAGTCTGAAGAACCAAAGGTGAGTAACGTTCAAGAGATCGTCTTAAGCATGAAACTAAAGTTCAAACATACCCTGCGGTGTAACGAGTGGCCATGTTCTTTGCAGCCAATCTGGCCCTTTCAGCACTTTCCTCAGACATCTTCTTGAGGATAAACCCCTCTCCGTTACACCCTGTGCAGATTCCGGAACCACCACAATCTTCACAAGTTTTCAAGTGCTCTGCCTAGTTAAACATGCAGTTAGGGTGACATCGAGTTGTAAAGATTAGGATCTAAGCTTTTGTGTAAGCAATTAAAGAACATACTTTGGCAGTGTCGGAAGCTTTGGTTGTTCTGGCAAGGAGTGATGCTGCAGCACCCACAGCCATGGCAGCAAATACCACCGATGCAGCAGTTTCAGGTAATGCAGATACCGCAAAGCAACTCTTTCGACCTCTTCCATGTGAGTTGAATTTAATCAAGCTAGCGACGTGGACATCGCTTGCATTTCGGACCTTGCAAAGTGAAGCTATAGAGATTTCAGACAGTACTCCAGCATTTGAAATGATACAGTGATATATAATCGAGAAACATGAGCAAGATATGCATTGTCATATTCCATGTTGGCATGAATCAAGTTAACACCCGGAGGCTGCTCTGGAATTTGAACGTCTAAGCATCGCAATGGTGTCATATTACGAGAAATCTCCTGTCACCATAACATGTATATTCATATATCGTTTCACAAACGAAGACAGGATCTTCAAAATTTATTTGAAGATATTTGGGATTACAGAAACGTGGACAAATGTATATCCATGTATTACTCCAACTTAATTTAAACAAGTCCATAAGCCCAAAAATTACAAGTCTAAGAAGAAACACGTAACGACAAAAACAAAAAAAACTCAAAGATACATGGAACAAATATCTTTCGTTCTTTTGTCAAAAGGGAAAGAAATGTCTTAAGTAATACCTAAAACATAAAGCAAAAGAAATGAGGGCCAAGTTTGTAGCACAATGACTACATCACAAGCAACACTTTGGGTGCTCTCTCTCTCTCTC